TTCCGAGGAGGTCTTGTTTTTGCTGCAATATTCGTCGCATATCTTTGCTAAAGGGTCTCTGTTCCCATTCTAGGCACGTGGGCAATTCGAACGACTTGCCGATGAACCCGGATCGATCACGATAGCACCATGTTTGCATCCCCATTGACACTCTCTGCAGGTTCACACCTGACCGGGGGCCACGATTGAAAACTACATACAATTTAGCCATCTCGAAAACGCCCATGCGCACAAGGTATTTAAAACGCCCAGCAATGCCGTGCCAAAACGCCTGCGAAACCCAAGACAATCCAAGGAGCATGTGCCGCCGCCCCCCCCCCCGTCGCACACGCTACTTCTCCCGCGCCAGCACCATCTTCTCGCGCTCGCTGCGCCTCTTCTGGAACTGCTTCTTCGTGTGCCGCCTCTCGTTCTCTTCCCTCCTTTTGATCGACTTGAGCTCCTGCGCCTTGATCTCGCCCGCCTTCTTGACGACCGTCGGGATGTGCCTGTGACGCTTGATGCGGCGCACCTCGGGCATGTGGCTGAAGCGCTCGATGAGGGCATTGTTGTACTCGAGGGCTTGTCGGTGGCGCGCCGACTTGACGCCCGACCGCTCCGAAGCGTTGGTGCGCCAGAGACGCACATTGCCGTCGTCGGAGCCCGAGAGGACGTACTTGGAATCGGGCGTGAACATGGTGCTGAACACGCGCTGCATGCGCTTCGTGTGGTAGATGTCGCGCGAGTGGCCTTGGTCGCGGTTCCAGAGGCGAATCGTGCGATCGTACGAGCCCGAGACGAGCTCCTGGCCCGTGGGACTGAACTCGACGGACATGACCGAGGCAACGTGGTCCTTGAGCACATTGAGCGCCCTGTCGAACTTGCGCATGTCGAAGATCTGGCCACCCCTGTTAGCAGTCTGTTGCACCAAGCATCAGTGTTCGGAGCAAGCGACTCACGTAAATGTTGTGATCTTCGCTGCCCACCGCAAAGTTGAAGGCCTCCATGGGGTTCCACGAGATGGTGTTGCAGGCAAAGTTGAGCGTTGTCCTCGTCAGAGGCATCGAGGTCCTGAGGTCGAACAGGACGATCGATCGGTCGAGGCCGCACGCCGCAAGCACCGACGTCTCCACCTGGTTGAATGCCACGGCATTGATTGTGTCGACAGAGTTGGGCCAGCCCAGCACGTCTGGCGCGGCATTGTGGCGTTCCAGGTCATAGATGGCCACCGAGCTCGACGACGAAGACGCGGCAAAGACGTTGCGCGACCGGTGCATCGACAGGTCCGTGAAGCCGCTGTTGCCGAGCCACGACGAGATGGGCGCAGACTCGCTCGGTGTGTTGTAGGGATCCCACAGCTTGATGGTCTTGTCGGACGCCGCACTGAGCAGGCGCTGATCCTTGGTCCAGCAGACGCTCCTGACAATGTTCTCGTGTGCGCTCTTCGTCTGCCAGACCTCGTCCCGGCTCGTCATGTCAAACACCTTGACAGCGCCGTCGCCACTCGCCGACGCAAACCGTTGCAGACTGTTGGGGTCCTTTGCCATTGTGTAGACACCGTCGACGTGGCCCTGGCCGAGCTCGGCCACGAAGGGCGCCGCGTGCATGCGCTCGAGTTTGACCGCATTGAGAGCTTTCGTGTATCTGGTCGCCGTTAGCTTTGGACATGGCCAGAAGAGCCGCATTTCGGGTCACTGACTCTCTCGCACGCTCGAAGGGATGGGCGCCAGGATCGAGGTTACGCGGCTGCTTGACGACCTCTGTTCCAGGCGGGTTGTACTCGGACACCGACCGACTAAGAGCTTTGATCTTCATGGCGAAAGTGGCCCAGAGCCCAAGGTGACAATTCGTGTCGGTGCTGATGTCGACGAGACGATGGTCGAAGGGGGTCCGGAGCTTCGTTGAATCAAGGGTTGCGTCTGGAGATCGAGTTTGCGTGGTGCGTGCAACTGACCAAAACAATTATTCTTTCCCAAGATCTTCTTGACCCTCGCCTCGTTCACTTGGGCCATCTCCAAAAATTCC